CAGAAGAAATACACTTTCGATAACAAAGCGAAGGTTCTTTTCATTATATGCAAGTTTTACCTCGACAAATCTTATGGTTTTCCCACTATAGTTACAGACTAAAATGTTTATAACAGACCGGTCCCGTTTCGCAGGTAAGCAAATTTTAAAGCGAGTGAAATGGAGCAGAAATACTGTTTTTAAGACGAAACTATGTGCGCTTGAGTTTTTGACAGCACTCCCTGGTGGGATTCTTGCATCAGCTAGTCGCAAATTTACATAGAAAGTCAAAACAAATTATTAATTCGAGAACTTCTTTTAGTATTTGTCAGAATTTTAAGTATTTGGTAAGCAAAACGAAAATGGAACCTGATTCATCTAGGTTATCTCTGGGAGAAATGATACACTCGGTTAACAAATCAAAGGAGCACAACATCCATTGATTTCAGGTGCGAATAGGATGAGAAATCAAAGGTTTCCGAGGACAATAAATAAAAGACAAGTATGGGTCGTTTCCAGCTTTTTCCTAACAAATGACTTATAGTAATTATTGTTATTGTTGTTATTACTTTTCAGAAGATGAATTTGTTTATTAATCAAGTAAATTCTAATCTACACCTCAACAACTAAACTATCCTCAATACCGTATACGTTTTAAGTGAAGTCTATGCGGATAATATATTCACAATTCTTTAAAATGTTTAATAAGGATTTCTTTCTATGTGTAAAACAAGCTACAGTTAAAATACGTGTCATCACAGGCGAAAATTAACAACACTGACTAAATATTCTGTACTGTCCCTCACCAAGATTAGGTGAATCGTATAGAGAAACCGTTAAAGAAAAGGAAATTTAGAAAAGCAAAAAAAAAAAAATGAGAAAATTGCTTCAATTTATATCCGCTATAAAATTACTCAAATGAAAGACATCGCGTTGCTGTATCTTATAAACGATATGGACTAGGTGAAAGAGTCGCTTGACAGACTTCAAAAATAATCTCTTAATTTTCTTAGGCCTTGCGTATATGTTTGCGATGATAACTTTACGTGCGCTCTGCATGTTCATATAGTCAAAAGAGTGATGTTCCCGGCAAAAAATCCCTTTAATCAATCCATCCATTCGATTCATAAACCATAACGTTTATTAAAGCCTTTGCATAAGTGCGGTTCATATGTACGTGCATAGAATTTTTTAAGTCCAGAGCAATATCACGTGGCCTGTTTACGGCCTTTTCTTGGAAACATATGGTTCCGCACTATAACTGGTAACTTGTGATAAGGAGGGCCTGGTGTTTTCCGAGAAACCCGGTTTCGCCGTGGAAGCATAAGCGAGTGATATAAAGAAGAAGTTTTTACTGACTGCCTGGGAATAAAAGCAAGAATGCAGCAAGCCTTTGGAAACTTTCAAATCCATTCAAGAGTTACCGTTGGAAGTAAAGTGCTACGAATCCAGCAGAGACTCGGCAACGGGGCATTCGGTGTGGTTTACAAAGTCATAGATGAAACATCTAACGTCTACGCACTAAAAGATGTCGTGTGTTTGAAAGGTTCAGACATTCGCAACGCTATTCGCGAGGTTCGAACCATGAACCAAATCTCGCACGAGAACGTGATTTCGGTGATAGCAGCGGAGCAGTTTCAGGATGCCCGAGGTCTGCACATGTTGATTTTGACCGAATACTGTGTGGGGGGAACCTTGAACGAGCGTCTCACGCGTCAGAGCAGCGAAGAAATCAACTTCAAGTGGATTCGTCAAATGGCAGCAGCCCTTGCCTTCCTCCACTCAAGAAGAATCGTTCACCGCGACTTGAAAGCCGACAACGTACTGCTGACTGCGACGGAAGATGTAAAGTTGGCCGACTTTGGTCTGGCCCGAGAATACATTGCGCTCAAGCGGATCGACGCCTCTCGTGACGATGGGTCGTGGATGTCATGCTATACACAATATTACATGAATTCAGGAGTTGGCCCGATACATTGGGTGGCTCCTGAATTTTTCAGTGGCCGCTACACCGAGAAAGCCGACGTGTTTTCGCTTGGTACCTTGTTTTTCTCGATTCTGGAGCGAGATTTTGTCATGATAAATGGCAAACCCATGTACGGCGCGTTCAAGCGTATTCCTGGAGGGGGCAAAGTTGGCATTGGGTATGCAATGGCGAATTATGGTTCAAACATCACCATTCAGTTTTCACCCTACGCACAAGGATCTGGTGCGCTGCAAAGGATCGCTGTCGACGCGATGCAGTACAATAAAAATGACCGCCCGAGCGCCGAAGAGATTCATAACCGAATAACGAACATTCAAGGAAGTGTTAGGCTCAGCAATTCTGGGAATCAATCAATCAATCAATCTTTATTATTTAAACACGGTAAAATCCATCAGGAATTTAAAAATTAAAGATAACCTAACTATCCTAAACAAAATTCAAAACCTAACTACAACTAATCTAACTAAAACCTGTTTTTCATGAATGCCGTGTATAACATTAAAAATGAACATTAACTAATCTTTTAAATTGACTAAGAGATTCGGCTTCTCTCACATGACAGGGTAGGCTGTTCCAGAGAACTGCTCCGCTATAAGTAAAGCTGTTTTTCATGAAATTAGTTCGCGGAAATGGGACAAATAGTTTGTTAACAGAGTCCCTCAGGGAGTAACGCGTTTCATTTCGTTTAACAAACTTAGATGATAAATATTCAGGAACAAGGCCATTTAAAGACTTGTATACCATTATGGATTTCTGTATTTGAAATTGAGTGTTCAAGTCTTTCCAATCGAGTTGTCTAATCAAACGGTTAGCATCAGCATCATAGCTAGAGAAGGTTAAAACGCGAGCGGCACGGTTCTGAAGCTTCTGTAGCCTGTCAAATAATGTTTTACNCTTTAATTCTGAATTGATCCAGGGTGCTTTATTTGTTCTAGTACGTCTAGTTCGGAGTGGCGCATGAATATTAACAATATCCAAAAACTTCGTTTTCCAGTTAGTCCACAAAACATTTGGATCTTCAGAAACATTACAGGACCAGTCTTGCTGGGCGATATCGTTCCGAAAACTCTCTCTATTAAAATTTTGGAAATTTCTATAAGAAATGGTTGAGTGCCCTTTTGAAGGAAAAGTGAGAGATAATTTCCTATAAACGTAAATAAGGCTATGATCGCTGATACCAATATGAGAGACTCCGGAACAGACTACCCTGTCAGTATAGTTTGTATAAATTAAATCAATTAATGTTGAAGAGGATTCAACAAGCATCAGAAGGATGGTGCTGTTGACTTTGTGGTCCGCGGATTTTACTGGAGGCTGCACCGGTCGGTGAGACAAGCAGTCAAGCTGAGTACAGAATATTATGTGATACCTGCACTAGTTTTAAAGTGTTGCTTACGAGGATTCAAAGAATATTTTACAACTAGCAACCAAACATCGGACGCGTTTTAATGCACAAGGAAGTTTTTTTTTTTTTTTCAATCTACCACCTAATGAAACAAACAAAAAACGAAATAAGGGCAGGCTTTATTTCCCGTGAAAATGTATATTTCTGAGACGCCTTGAAAATGCTATAAATAGTTACTGTTTCAAGTTAAAGCGGCTAAGTAAAAAATTGCATATATTCATATGCGATTTTCACAGAATTAACATGAGATAAATCTTTCGAGAAGAAGCTAGCTTTTCAGTTTATTCGTTTTCGCTCGCTTTGTGAGCGTCCTTAGCGCATTTGGCGCTCTCGCGGTCGACTTGTGACGAGTCTATGTTGGCATTGCGAGGGCCAGGTGTCATTGGAAATTCAAGTCGTTCAGGTTAATCTACTAACTATGTAATAATCAATCTTCGAAGTTTATAATCACGGCATTGCATCTTTTGCACTGCTTCTATATTGACGAGATAATGAAGGAAGTTTTTCTTAATAAATGGTGCAAAGTTTAAAGTGAAAAAGAAAAGAAAATGAAGAAATCTGACACGGTTACTAATATATAACGCAACAAACAGAAAATTTTGTTTTCTGCGGCACATAGCAAAATTAAAGCATATTGGACATCCGGCCTTATTCCAAGAAACTGAAGTTGATGATTGCTTCCATTGCTGAGGGAGCCTTCCTGTTCCGGTTCGTTTGTCAAGTTAGAATTTTCTATGCCAAAAAGCTGAATAAAAAAATAATAAGAAGAATTTGAGGTTTGGTACTTAAAGGAAAATGGAGCAAGCCTTTGTAAACTTTCGCCCAAACGCAGAAGTTAGTTACCTGTCATAAGTACAACAGCTTCCCTAATAGTAGCGACCAAAATAGATTGAAGTGTTTGAAAAGAACTATTCTACTAAACAACAGCAAAAACTTAAGCTCGCGTTAGGTCGCGTAGCAGTCGTTCCCTCTTACCTATGCCCTTGCATGTCTCGTACGCTAATCCCGTTTAGCTCAAAGTAAAACTGAACGAAAACGGTGGCCATGCAGGCTAAGGCTTCGTCGATGTCTGTTATGAGTATGTTACTCAGTGAACGTTTACATAAATTCGTTTGAGGAGGCAAAAAGAAATTGTTTCTTTCAAATTTTTTTTCCCATTAATCATCTTTCAATGATATGTTTCATTTTTTGTCTGAAGCTGGGAGAGAGGTTTTAACCCCTCCAGTCCCTCCCCTGGCTACGTCATCCATGACTTATTTAGTTTTCTAAGAAATACAACACTTTGATTAGTCTTTACACTAGAACCTAAATAAGCTAAGAAATATTTCAAGACAAGTAGATTTTCAATACTTCAAGTAAAATAAAGCTTCACACACAACCGTTTCTTTTTTACTTCAGGTTAACTTAAGGCTATTTTTTTTTTTTACCTCGCAACATAATTAACAGTAATTGACATGCTTCGCCTTCTTCATAGCTCAATAAACCGTAATTTCGCTAAGTCGGTTAGGATGGTTTTCAAGTCACTTGAAACTTTTCTTGAATCTTTTCAACTTACCGACTTTAATTAGATGCAAAGTAAAATAACTTGAGATTTGTCTTGTCTTCAAACACATATCTTTGGGTAAGTAAAACTTAGCAGCTTTGCAAGCGTAAGGTCGAGATGGTAGGAAATTGGCCATTTTTTTGCCATCTTAATGCACGTCGAAGTTCAAGTTCAAAACATATCACCATATTAGCTAGCCATCTTCACCGAACAAGCTAGCGGGTCAATAAAGGATTTACTATAAGGCCAAAACAAAATCTGTTCTCGCGGGACAAAGTGGGAAATTCCGAGCATCTTGAGCTCTCGGGTAGCCAATTAGAACGCAGCATTTGTCCCACCCCAATCTCCTAGCAGTTTCTTTGCCCTCGCCCGCCTATTTAGCGTGCCCAACCAAAACCGCCATGCTACGCGGGCTACAGCATTCGCTTCACCTGGCTATTATTATAAGATACTTTTTTACTAGCCTGTGCCAGGCTCTCAGATAGTATAGTGGGAACGTATTAAAACGAGCAAAGCGAAAATAAGACGCACACGACTTGGGAAAGGGGGCGGTGGCGCCGCCCTGTCCCTCCCCAGCCCCCGCGTGTTTTTCGCATTTCTTATTACTGAACGACTTTCCACCACCATCTCGGAGCCTGGAACAGGCTACTTTTTTACAAACACGTTGTCTTATCACGAGTGGAAAAACGGAAAGAAAAGTATGCCCTTTAACCTCGGGGCCCCTCTAAATGTTGGAGGAAAACTGGTGAAAATTAAGCGACCACTCGGTTCGGGGGCTTTTGGTGATGTGTACAAAGTGCGAGGACAAGGCAACTGGAATGAAGTATGCGCTAAAAGATGTCGTACATCAATCAGAAGAGTCGATAGCTGAAATGAAAGAAATTCACATATTAGGACAAATCTCTCACGCAAATGTGGTTACACTGATTGCTCGAGACAGCCTAAAGCCCGTTGATCCTAAGAGTTTGCACGAACTAATTTTGATGGAGTACTGCGCAGGGGGAAACTTGAACGAACACCTCCATCGACCAAGCAGTGATATAGTAAACGTAAAGTGGATGAAGCAAGCAGCCAGTGGCCTTGACTATCTTCATGAACGGAATGTAGTCCATCGCGATCTGAAAACTGAGAATGTGCTGTTAACCGAAACTGAGGATATAAAGCTTGCTGATTTTGGTTTAGCAAGACCGTTCATCGCACTGAAAACAAATACGCGATCATGGTTTTCTACTGACCCATTGCTGGCAAAATATTACATGAATTCACATGTCGGCACACCCCACTGGATGGCCCCAGAAGTTTTTAAAGGTCATTACGCAGAAAAAGCCGACGTGTTTTCCCTTGGTGCCATTTTCTTTGCAATCCTGCAAAGGGATTGTGTTGATGTGAATGGTAAAAAATTTTATGGTGCGTTTCATCGAGTAGGGGTGTCCCCGTTCAGCGCCCAAACGGTCGGCCTTGGTTATGCAATGGCGGAATATGGTGCGCAAAATATTATTCAAGCTGCGTTTTCAGACGGAGCACAAGGCTCCAACACAATGAAAAGCATCACTCTCGATGCTCTACAGAAAAAAGCAAATGAACGACCCACTGCTGCCGAGGTTCACAGGAGACTGGAGGAGGTCATGGAGGAAATGCAATTCTGGGTAACAGAGGCTTCCGCATATTGTTTTACCATTTCGTAATTTAATAATTTTCAACACAAAACAAATTCAATAGCAAAGCTACTCTTTCATGTTTGAAGCACTCTCTTTTGTTGAATAGTCCATTTGCAGCTGGTCAGCCACGTGGTACAAGTTAGACCGCGTTGTCCTCTTTACGTTTAATTTTTCGTCACGCTGTTCTAAAATATATTCTGTTCTATCAATATATGATTTTCATAAAATCGTTATTTCAAAGTGAAATACCATTTTAAATGATGTGAGTTCTTGCGTCCCAGCATGGCGTTTTCGTACCAGTTGACTGCCCAGCAGGTGGACAACTGTCAACATCATCTAGACATCATTTGTACACAGTTTTGTATTGCTGCACCTGTTAAGTTTCAAAACAACATGATTTTACATAAAATTTGTTACCACTATGCGGAGTTCATATAAGAATCTACGTGGCTTAGTTAAGTAGAAAATAATACGTAGGTCGGTGTACCCTGCAAGCAGGGGCTACATTTTCGCGGTATGAGCTGGCGTACAAAAGTACTGGGCTCCTCTGCTCGCAGGGTAGAAGCGGTGATGTATGAAGGCTGAAAATTATTAGACAAGTATAGGACGGAGTGAAGTACAATTCATCACAGAGTGCAAGTTAAAATTACAAGCGCGACTACCCTAAATTGTTCGACGCGAAGTCCTGTTACCAATGGTCGGCAAAATAATATTCAAGCTGCGTTTGCACCCTACGCACAAGGATCTAGTGCGCTGCAAAGGATCGCTCTCGACGCGATGCAGTACAATAAAAATGACCGCCCGAGCCCCGAAGAGATTCATAACCGAATCACGAACATCCAAGGAAGTGTTAGGCTCAGCAATTCTGGGAATCAACAAGCATCAGAAGGATGGTGCTGTTGACTTTGTGGTCCGCGGATTTTACTGGAGGCTGCACCGGTCGGTGAGATAGACAGTCAAGCTCAGTATAGGATATTAAGTAATGCCTGCACTAGTTTTAAACTGTTACTTGCGAGGATTCAAAGAATACTTTACATGTAGCAACCAAACATTTTGCTCAAGGAAGTCCTGAATTTACCACCTAATGAAGAAATACGGTTTTCTCAGAAATATCATTAAATAAATCTGGAAAACGTACTTTTTTTAGTTATTTAATTTTTAGTTGAGTCGCCCCTCTCGCAACTCCATCACTTCCTTCATGAACGTCTCTAGCGCCGGCTTTCGGCACTCTCCCGGTCGACTTGTGTCCCGGGGGGCGGAGGGGGGCGTTACTCCCTAAAATGGCCTATACGGGAAGGCTCCGCCCGAAAGGGGAACCTTTTTCAAGGTTCAGGTACATGAAAAGGTAGGGATTTTACTCGTTGAATGCGAAAGGGTAAGAAAATCTGTCATTTGGGTCTGCAAAAGGGCCCATAGGGCTAACAGATGATTTTTATGGCTCTATAATGAAGTCGAGAAAACGTTCGATTTTTTTGATTGATTCCTATTTAAACGACAGTGCATTTACAGCAGTTAAAAAGGATGAAAAGTTCTAAACAAGGAATGTGAAAGGGGTACCATTTGTCAATAGAAGGTATTTGAAGGGGCACCTTTTTCGTGGGAAATGGTATATAGAGCCTCCCCGTATAAAAATTTCTTGCGTACCCCCCCCCGCCCCCGGACTTGTGGCGAGTCTATGTTTGCAATTCCGAGGGCAAGGAATGTTACTCGGAAATTCAAGTCGTTCAGGTTGACCTTCATAAGAACTAGTCATGGCATTGCATCTTTTGCACCGCGTCAATACTGACGTAGTAATAAAGGAAACCTTTCTTGAATGGTGCATAATTCAAGGTGAAAAAAAAAAGAAAGAAAAAAGACAACAGAAATGGTTATCTACGCAACAAATAGAAATATTGCTCTGAGCACATACGTCAACGAAATTCAGGCATATATGGACATCCAGCATTTTTCCAAGTAAGTTGATAATTGTTTGCATTTTAGTTGCAGAGGGCGACTTCCTGTTCCGGTTCGTTTGCCTAGTTAGAAGTTGACTACACTTGCACTTCCCTCGATTGTGTCCTTTTATGCTTTAACGTGATTATGAACAACCAAGGAAGCCGCTTTTATTCTGGCTGAAAAGAGAGGAGCCGAAACCGAGCCGAGGTTGGTACTGAGAAGAGAAAGAGAACGAGTGGGGACTGGGTGATATAACCACCGGCGCTTTTCATGCTACTTCCGGTCTTTTCTTAAAATTCTTGGAAACGTAGGGCTATTATGTAAATAGGGCTCATCTTTCTAAGAATGTCGGTTTGTGTGCCTTCATATGAGTGTGACAAAAACGGCAGCGAAGAAGTAAACGTTTCACTGATTGGTATCTTAAACCAAAATGGAGCAAGCCTCTGAAAACTTTCGCCCAAATTCGAGAATTAAAGTCGGAAGTAGAAGGCTGAGAATCAAGCAAAGACTAGGCAAGGGGGCTTTTGGAGTCGTGTATAAAGTCAAAGATGAAGCAACTGCCAGAGTTTACGCATTAAAAGACATTCTGTGTATCAATCGTTCTGAAATTATGAATGTCCTTGGCGAGATTAGTACAATGAACCAAATCTCCCATGAGAATGTGATTTCTGTCATAGAAGCAGACCGCTTACTTGATGACGAAGGCGACTTGCACATGTTGATTCTGACCGAGTACTGCGCCGGTGGAACATTAAATGATCGTCTTGCTCGACCAAGTAGTGAAGAAATGAATTTCAAATGGATGAGACAAACAGTCGACGCTCTTGCCTACCTTCATTTAAGCGACATAGTTCACCGTGACTTGAAAGCGGAAAACGTGCTCTTGACAGCAGAGGAGGATATAAAGTTGGCTGACTTTGGCTTGGCGAGAGAGTTCATTGCACTCAAGACCGATGTTCTACTTGACGATGACTCGTGGATGAACAGCTACGTGCAGTACTATATGGATTCAGAGGTTGGTACGCCGTATTGGATGGCTCCAGAGGTTTTTGCTGGCCACTACACTGAAAAAGCTGACGTATTTTCGCTTGGAGTTCTCTTTTACGCGATCCTGCAGCGTGATTATATCACTGTCGACAGAAAAAAATTTTACGGCGCGTTCAAAAGTATTCGTGGTCAGGGCAAAGTAGGCCTTGGTTACGCAATGGCATATCACAACCCAAACTTCACCATTGCTTTCTCAGAGCAAGCGCAAGGTTCCAATACTCAGCAAAGGATTACACTTGAGACCCTACAGTACGATGAAGATGATCGACCAAGTGCTGAAGAGATTCAAAAAGTATTTGAGGAGGCCAAAGAAGATGCGGCTTTCTGGGTTTCAGAGGCCGTAAACACCTACTGTACCATCAGTTAAGCATTAGTTCACACTTTTTCGTCTAAAACCGCTCCCTAAGGGAGAGCGATAACAAAATCAATAATTTGCGATTCACATAGAGCATAACTGTAACAGTACATAAACAGTGACTGCTGTGACCGCTGCCGGTCATGATTGTAATATACTGCACCATCTATTTTTTATTATTTAGCGCTTGTTGTACAATTTTTTAACTTAATAATCTCATTTACTTGGCAAAGTAGAGAAAACATGTTCTAATATAATAAGGAAGAGGGTGTTGGAATAAGAAAGCAATGTAACTGGTTGCTGCCAGACATAATAACAAAACTAGAACAGTTGCCTGAATGTCTTTAGGATTTTATGCTACCCGATAAAACGATCAGCCTGAATCCCGAAATCATGTGTTTTTATATGTGTTTACTGTAGTCAAGAGCCATAATAGGACAGGTCCTATTATGGCTCTTACTGTAGTTCATGTATTTGAGCACTCATTAATAGGCCTTTTGAAGTTGATAAGCCACGTGGCTCAGAAGACAAACTGAAAAAATAGGCCATTTCCGAGGTTTCCTGAAAAATGGTCTTATATTCTCATGCAACTAAAACTCATTTTCAAAAGAAAGGTTTTGCTTTTTATAGCCTTGTTTTGAAAGAACGGGTGGGAGAATGGGGAGAGAACGGGGAGTGACAGTGTTGTGATAAGTTGTGACAGTGACTCCTCTTTTTTTTTCTCATTTTCTCGTTTTCAGACTCCTCACGGTCGGCTGAAGGTGACCAATAGATACAGTAGCACCCGGTAACTCGAAAACTGAAGGGAAGCGAAAAACAGTTCGAGTTAGAGGGGAATTCGAGTTTTCGGCGTAAATTTCAGTGAAATTTCGATCAAGGAAAAGAAAATTTAGTTTGAGTTAGCGGGGAATTTGAGTTACCCGAGGGCGAGGTTCTACTGTTTATGTGTATACAGTTTTTAAAGATTCAGGACAACATGGTATTATGTGAAGTATCACAAAATAAAAACACAATAATAATAAAATATAATAATGTGTAGCGGCGGTAAGGAAGGTTGAAAGTTATTAGCTGTAAAATAGTTCCAACAGAGCAACAGTAACAAAAGTTTAGATTCTTCCAATAAAACATAAACCCCTAGATCGCCCATATCGGGGTCATTTATTATACTGGGGTCGTCATTAAATAAGGATTCGTTCTATGGGAGTTTTACTATGTTTGATCCTCTTGTCACAATACTATATAATAAGGGGGAAATGGACATCGCTGGCAACAGGAAATCACATCGGTCAAATCGACATGTTCCACAGAACCGGTTTATTTTCGCGTCAGAAGCAACAGCCCCTCTCCCAGGCCTTCACAAGGAGGAAAATCGTTCAAGCTTTCCCAAACTGCGCTTTTCAACAACACTGCCGCAAGGGGCGGGCGAGGGGTCGTCACTGTAATGTGCATGCCAAAAAAATTAGGAAGTGCTTTAAGTTTTTTAAGATGCCAGGCTTGAAGATTGAAATTTGAAAGCGGAGACATTTGATGCTACTGGGCACCTTAACATGTATTATTGGTAAAAGTAAAAGTAAAGAGTCCTTATTTTACGTCAATAGCTCAGAAAAGTCAGCATCTCACTAACGGCAAAGAAGAGGCCGAAGGTGCACTCATGTCATACCCCTGCCTCCTCCTTCAGTGCTTCATTTTAGGGCATTTATGGTCAAAGTTACTTTTTTACACGCTACAGGGGAGGAAAGAAGTCGAAACGAGGATTTAAGGTCTCACTAAACTTGCTACAAGTCGACCTCTTTGCGAGCGGAGCGAGCCTTAGCTGGCCGTCCGACGAAGGACTTTTTTGAAAATCTAAGGTCTCAACTGATAAACGATCACGGGTTTTCTCGCCCAGAAGGCCGTGCAATAACTAAGTGTCCCAATCCCAGAGGCCCCACTCACATATTTTAATGACGGGGGGGGGGGGGGG